GGTTTCCTTGAACTCGCTATGTAGACCAGGCTGGCCTTGAACTCAGAGATTCACCTGCCTCTGCCTCCCAAGTGCTGGAATTAAAGACGGTTGTGCTCATTCATTAAAGGAGTGCCAAGCAGGGTCACTGGCCCCTCACCTGAGTATCCAGCCACTCTTCCCAGCCAACTAGTCCAGCCTTGGAAGACAAAAGAAAAATGAGGAAGAACCCAGTAGAGGGATGCTTTTGGAACACCTTGTAAAGAAACTCCAGTGGACTCTCATATGAACATTTGAAAATTGCCCTGTTCTGTCTTTTTTCTAGTTCCTTGTCTAGACCTTGTAATGCTAATTACTCTTGCCTTTACTTCTCCTTCACATCTCCCATTCATTATTCAAGGGCTTTCTTCTCCCCCTTTTTCTTCTTTGGAGTGCTTCTCTCCGCTTTCTTGGCCTGAAAGCAACATTGAATAGTAGGTATGAATATCAAGGTTACAGCTAAATTTACTTGTCAACAGAAAGCAGTCACTAGGCTAACCATAGGCAACCACACTGTTAATCTTATTTCATGGCTCTCTTCCCCTCAGGCAGAATATTCATTCATAAATTGAAGCAACAAATAGGATTCAAATTCATGAATTTCACTAGAAAATTTGAAGATATCAAAGGATAAATTGAGAAACCCATTGGAAGGGTTGGAGAGATGGTACAGTGGTTGAGAGCACTTAATACTATCAGAGGAGCAGAGTGCAGATCTCAGTACCCAACAAATTCCTATAATCCCAGGCAACCAGTGTGCCTTTCTGGCCTCCTTGGGCACCTGTACACACATCAGCATATACACACAGGCATACCTAAGTCAAATAAAATCGTCTTTGAAAAAAAAAAAAAAAAGGAAACTTTTTGGATGTTGAAAACTACTTTTTGTATTGGAGAGCCATGAGGTCGCTGAGTGTCTGTGAATGTTGTCTCTCTGTAGCATTTTCTTGTGCTCCTCTTGACTTTCAAGTACTTTGTACATTGTGCTAAAGGTTAGGCTTCAATGTATCCCTGCTTTTATCTAATCCTGCATGTTTGTATGAACTCAAAATGCAGAAGACAAAAGGGCTCATGGAGGTGGCATGATTGTGGAATTTCCTTTCAAGCTCAGGTTTGCTTTATAAGTTGCTAAAGATTGCACCTAGTGAGAACTTGTTGCTGTCCATAGTTTCTGCAACAGTGTACTTGTACTGTTCCCTGAAGCTTTAGAACTCAATCATATGCTGTCTTTTAACTCTGTTCCTAATGAAAATGTTGAGCACTTTTTTATGATAATTAAAGCTGTGTGATGTGGTGTGAAAACAAAATTAACTTTATTTGCCTATGAGAAAAATGATTTAAAAAGGAACATTATGTGGCTGGAGGGATGACTCAGCAATTAAGAGCACTGTCTGCTCTTATAGCAGACCCAGGTTTGATTCCCAGCACCCACATGGCAGCTAACAGCTGACTGTAACTCTGGTTTCAGGAGATCTGATGCCCTCTTCTGGCCTCCATGGGCCTTGCACAACATGGGAGCACTTACATAAATGCAGGCACACATAAAACAAAATAAAAATATATACATTAAAAAAGGAACAGTGAAACAGCATACTGTAGTGAAATGGTTAAAAACTAAATGTAAATTGAAGACATTAAAATTATTTTGAAATATGCAAGTGTTGGGCTAGAGAGATGACTCACTTCAGCGGTTAAGGATGCTCATCTCTCTTCCTGAGGACATGAGTTCAATTCCTAGCACCCGCATCAGCTCACAATTGCCTGTAGCTCTAGCTCTTGAGAGATCCAACTGGTAAAAATCTGAGGGCACCTGCCCTGTTGACAAGTAAGTTTAGCTGTAACCTTGATATTCATACCTGCACTCACTTATACACACCCACTCACACACACGTAATTAAAAATCTCAAAAAAAGAAGAAGAAGAAGAGGAGGGGGAGGGGGAGGGGGAGGGTGTAGTTCACAGTTCACATAGTCCCAACACTTGGGAGGCAGAGGCAGGTGGGTCTCTGAGCTAGAGGTCAGCTGGGGCTACAGGGAGACCCTGTCTCAAAAAGCATAAATAGGTAGATAGATAGATAGATAGATAGATAGATAGATAGATAGATA